TAAGATGATTTAATCGAATTGATTGATTGAACTCCATTCAATTGGGAGAACTCTTTTTATAGAGGGATTGATTGACAACCCTCTCTCTCTCTGAAGTTGGTCGAACTGGCTATCTCGCCCAACTAGGAGTATCCAAAAACTCGAAGATCGACCTTTGGCATGAGAAACGAATACTTTGTCAAACGCGACAAAGCGTCATCAGAGCTCTTGCCATATGTTGAGAGCAATAAGACATCAGTGCGATGAAGTAGAGGGACTTCACACCAATGAGAAAGTGGCGTGCATTGCACCAGACTCATCTATTGATCATTAACATCGTTGAGTGGATACAAATGACAGTCATTACTAACCTGATCTCGGCTGGCTCATTTCAAAGAGGATTAAATTGCTACTTTGATATTCATAGCTTAGTATTTTATGGGGAACATCTCATCCAAAATTATTCAGTGCTGCAAAATTGTGGAGCAAAGTTGTTGATCGTGCCAGTTTGGGTCTCGCGTCACAATAAACTCTTGAATAGGCCGTCTTATGATTGGAGTAATAGGAATATGGATCTGAAAAAGACCTGATCTGCCTTTTTATCTATGGGGCCGTGGTCAAAATAATCATGTGAGAAAACAGTTGAGGAAAGTCCAATTCGCTTTCATTGTTGGGACTTATTGTCTGACATCATGATATCAGGAGATACCATATTAGTTCGACTACCTCTGTAAAGTGGCAGGAGGTACTGCTGAGTTTATTTCAGGGTAGATAGGGCAGTCAGGAACATGACTGAAGCGTTGGTAGGATCAAAGCCATTCTCCGTCTCTCGCAATCTTGATAATGAGTAAGTGGACTTGTATTTCTTCACAGTTGAAATCACGCGAGGACTAGCTAAAACAATGCTCATGTAAAAATTGTTTGATTTCCCCGAAAATAAAGTATCTAGTAATGACAAGCTATCTATCAATAGTAACTATCCTACAAATATCTCGCACCGTAAATAGGATGGGGTGGAAAATGAATGATGAACACTAGCATATTTGAGACACAACAGATTCTACGGTATTCGTGGTAGCATTTGCGAGAAATTCGGGTTTTTTTCGATTTGATGTGAGGTCTGAATTGCGCAGTTTGTGCCGTGAAATCAATTCTGCGATTAAATCCACAAGCCATATCTTGACAACGATCGCTATCTGCTCCACTTGACTTCAGGTCAAAGCTTGGAATCTGGGAACTAGATGAGAAGTAGTTGTTAATAGAAATATGACAAGAGATCTAAGCTTATCGTTTCATTCTACATGTTGAACGATTAATTCCAAGCACAAACTAAGAAGCGTCCTAAATCTATCTTAATTAATTTGTGATCAGCATCACTGATCCATTTGTTGTGATAGTGGATCATGTTCATAACACTAGCAGTAGTTCAATGATAGCTGGAAGGGCCAGAAGATTATTTTGGTGATCCACTCTGCCCTACTAATGCTGATTAATTTTCCTTTCGAAGTGGGTAAATTCGTCTCGTGCTTTCCCTTCATCTCGTCCAAGCTCAGATCAAGGCATGTGATGTTTATGATTTCATATGCACAAAAATGGATCTCCTTTGTGATACATCTGGAGTTTGCTGAGTAATATCCAATTTGGTCTCTGTCATTTAGACGCCATTGCACCAATGCAAAATAACAAATTAGCAAAAAATCAGCTTCCCCTCAATAACAGCTGTTGAAATCCCGTAATTTATCAGAATGGTATTCAATCCCAGTTGATACTAATATTTTTCTCCGAGCATTGTCTAGAAATAGCCCTTTCCTTTATTCCTATGATTTAGCTTATCTCACCGAAAAATCATGCTAAGTTGTCCAATTGTCTCCAAGCTGTCTCTTCTCCTAATTCATATCAGGATATTCGCTTCCGGCAAGTTGACTACTTCTTCTCGTTACTTGCGGCGCTTTGTCATATAAAGAAAGAAGTCCAATCAACCAAGAGTCAAGGCCAATTTCCCATTATCTCCCAACTATTGTCTCATATTTCGATCGTTGAATTCGTGCATCGCACATTTAGATTGACGTAAAAATTTCTCATTTGTAATTTTGATCAGACGACAACCCAACTAGAACAAAATTTCTCGATGTTCGCACCGGTAAAGATCAGTCGAGAATTGTATGTGTTTCTGATGATTTCTAAAAGCCGAATCTCGATGTAATCAAATTGGACAACTTCTATAATTTTCCCACATTCAAGAACGTCATTACCAAAAATTTTGATTGGTTCTTATTAGAATTACAGCAAAATTATGTGAAAGTCACGTGATATGAATGGAAGTAAGCCAGATCAAGAAGGCAAGCAGTCATCATAACAACTTACTGCATCATTCTTCTCTACTACTACGAGAGTCTGATATTAATACCTCCCTTCATGATCCCTTTTCACCGCCAACATGTACATGAGGCTATTCTAGTATCTTCTTCAATGCCCTCATGTGCGCATTTAGCAAGTTCCATATCCGTGCTTGTAGTTTCAGTATATGCCTATCAAGATTGTCGGGTGTCGCCTATCCGCTACTAGTTACGCTAATGGAGGGCAAGACTGAACACCTGTACGCGGTGTCCTCTACGAACCTGGGAGTGAAATATTCTCCCAGATCCAAGTTCAGTCAAATTTCGCAATATTAGAAAAGTTGGCCCACGAGGCAATGATTCAAAATACTCCACCACGTCGTTTTTTCGGTCCCAACGAGTTTAATTTAACCAAGTCTCATCAAGTCTACGAGTACGACCTAGTTCATCCTCATCCCAATGACCACACCTCTCTTCAGCTTTCTCTGGTCTCAGTTGACCACCAAATACACGCCCACGCCGATATTTATACCCGACGGAGAAAGCAAAGTGTGGCGCACAAATCTGGGAGACAATTCTTTGGGGTGGACGTGAGAGGGATCAAGACAAGTTGACAAGATGATGCGAAGGAAGGATATAATCTTGAAGGGCGTGAAATTCTGGATTTTGGCAAGGAGATTTACGAATTGGGCTTTGTGCGCGCCAAGACCCCCTATTTGTTTTTTTTTTTGCATCAGACTTTAATTGCGTATGCAGATATCTAGCCATGACACAATATCAAAGATTAGTACAAAATAGATGACTCAATTCACAAGAGGAGCACTCATGCCTCAGATTTCATTTGCAAGTACCACTGCGAAGTTATGATGGCTTTTTCTTCGCCCCAAGTCAACCCTTATCCGTGAATACTCACCCAGGGGAACGTCTCAAAAACCCTGAGTTATCCAGACATGCCTCCATCATCTTTCAACTTTTCTCCGCGCGAAATATGGTCTTAGGCGTCTCCTTCCCAAGTGGAGTAGGTGCCCAGGCTACTCAAACTATTTCAGAAAACATCACTAGGAGGTGGACGACGGCACCTTCCATCGTTTGCCTGTTTTTAAAGTGTCAACTGCACTCTCGCAAGCGAAGTCTTGGCGCGCACAAAGCTCAAGTCCTAAAACTCTTGCCAAATTTCAAAATTTCACGCCCGTCGAGATTGTATCCCTCTTCTGCATCATCTTGTAAACTTGGCCTGATCCCTCTCACGTCCATCCCAAAGAGCTATCTCCCAGATTTGTGCTCCACGCTTTGCTTCCTCCGTTGGGTATAAATATCGGCGTGGGCGTGTATTTGGTGACCGGTTGAGGCCAGAGAAAGTTGACGAGAGGTGTGGTCATGGAAACGAGGATGTACTAGGTCGTACTTGTAGACTTGATGAAGCTTAATTGAGAATCGGACTCTTTGGGAGTGAAAGATTGACATGATGGAGTAATATGAATTTTTGCTTCGTTGGCCAACTTCTTTGATATTGCGAAATTTGACTAAACTTGGCTCTGAGGGAATATTTCACTCCCAGGCTCGTAGAGGACACCGCGTACAGGTGTTCAGTCTTGCCCTCTGCCAAGACCCCCTTGCGAGAGTGCAGTTGACACTTTAAAAACAGGCAAACGATGGAAGGTGCCGTCGTCCACCTCCTAGTGATGTTTTCTGAAATAGTTTGAGTAGCCTGGGCACCTACTCCACTTGGGAAGGAGACGCCTAAGACCATATTTCGCGCGGAGAAAAGTTGAAAGATGATGGAGGCATGTCTGGATAACTCAGGGTTTTTGAGACGTTCCCCTGGGTGAGTATTCACGGATAAGGGTTGACTTGGGGCGAAGAAAAAGCCATCATAACTTCGCAGTGGTACTTGCAAATGAAATCTGAGGCATGAGTGCTCCTCTTGTGAATTGAGTCATCTATTTTGTACTAATCTTTGATATTGTGTCATGGCTAGATATCTGCATACGCAATTAAAATCTGATGCCAAAAAAATATCTAACCGCCATTTTCATTAAATTTTCTTTCTATACTATTATCTGTCACATCCATCACATATAAAAACAAGTGAATTTGGTAGCGTGTTGTCTGGCTCTAGCAGTCCATCATAGTCATAGAATAAGTGGGTACTTCAATTTATTTATATTTTATTATACTCTATCACGTCCATCAAGAGAGCCTGATAACAAGATGTGTGCGCCGTGATTGGTTTCATCTGATATGTATAAGTAACAGCATGGGTTTACATTTGGAGGCTAGATGATAGTCAATGAGAGGTGTAATCATTGTAACGAGATTACACTAGGTCGTTCTAGTAAAGCTGATGATTTTTCGGTGTTAATCGATCTCATTGGGATGGAGAGATCTGTTCGGTGGAGAATCCTGAATCTTTGACTCATGGGCCAACTTATTCATTTTTGCTAAATTTGACCGAGCTAGCCTCTGAGAGAATATTTCACTAACAGATGCGTAGGGGAGATAGCAGGCAAGTGTTCCGTCTACGTGCTCCAGTCCAAGCTAGCTATCACAAATGGGCGTAGTGCATAAGAACACTTAACACAACTAACTTTTCCAACATTGTAGCCCTATCGGACCTATTTTCGCACAATAATATTTTGCAAATAAAGGCAATAATTGTCACGTCCACACTCTATTGCCGTCTCAATGGAAGAAAATATATATGATGAAATCGAGATCGAGGACATGACCTATGATCCAGTGCTAGAAATATATCACTACCCTTGCCCCTGTGGTGATCGATTCGAGATTGGAATTGCAGATTTGCGCGATAATCAAGATATTGGTGTTTGCCCCAGCTGTAGTCTGATGATTCGGGTCATATTTGATCTAGTAAGGGCACCTGATTTTTTTAATGAAATACAGATATCAAGCATAATACCTACTTTTCCACTGCTTCTCTCAAAACTGACTGATACTTAAAGGAGTCTTTACCTTCGCCTGTTGGTGTCTCCGAATCACAGAATAAAGGAAAAGCTGAAATAACGACATAAGAAACTGGTCGAACACATGATATAAATCATGAGCGCGAAGAACTTGAGAATCAGAACTAGCCTTGCTACAAATATTGTCTCGACTTATCAACAACCTGTAATCGCTTGACTCTAAATTCATTAATTTTTAAAACTATCCAATTGTGGAGTTATGTGCATTCTAAAAATTGATAATCCTATGTTGTGGCAGATTGGATGATGCAAATGTTTATCTTGACATGTCATTTGCAGATGGATTCTTATCGCGTTATGGTAAGGTCTTACTGGATTCATGACTGGAAAAGTCATGTTAGATGCAGCACTATGTCTACAACAAAATATATGCGGCTTCTACGAACAGCTGTGGCCGCTCTTCAACTTACTCTCTCAATCACTTTCTATCAATAACCTAGTGTCGTTCGAGTGTCTATAGAACGCAGATTACTGTCTAATTATACGCTTAACATTACAAATTTTGATTATTATCAACAATACCACCATATATTCTTGCTGCAGAAGCCGCCAGGCGTCACTCTAACTTTTCGTAATAATTGAATATAATTTCATAATTCTTCGCCAATAACTACCTCTATCGCCTTAGTATAAATGTATTGTAAGGTCTAGACCTGCTGTCCGAAAAACGGATACGGCCTAAAATCCGATGTAGAAAGCGACATATCTAGGAGCAAACAATCGAGAGGGACTACGACTGATCGATGACAATGCATATCCGGACAAAATCGAGCTTCCTTTCTTAATATGAAGATTAGTCTCGCTAATAATAAAAAGAGTCCTAAAGATGCACTTCAGGGAATGAGCCACGTGAAAGATACCTTGACATACCTTCCTAAGGAATGACTGGAAATTTCCAGAGAGGAGACCCCATCGCAAGATCATGTTCTTCTATTAAAAAAAGCTGTCACTATGGGATCATACTGGTCTGCCAGCTAATTTTAACCTCCCACGACTGCAAAACCTGCTATTAATCTCTTACATGCGGAAGTCTCAGAGCCAGCCATGCAGTGCTCGGCAAGAAGGATAAGGGTAGAGGTTTCTCAAGACATAGCCTCATCAGCTGCTTTAATATTTCAGAAAGATGTCGTGAGACCATATGCAGTTAGGCAGATAGAAAATCATAGCACATAAGTCTTTATACAATATTATCTCAGCGTGACGCGACCTTCAATGTGTCACAGCCAGTAGACTAGTAACTTCAGACTATCCTGTTCACATCCTTGGCATGCCACAAGAAACAAAGGTTCAGAATGGCAAGAACGTGGTTAATAACCTGCTGGTTAAGAAATCACTGCTGCTAGCGGTGTCGGAATTTCTGGGCTTCTTATCGACAGAGTTCTGTGGCTTAAGATGAAAAAGTGCATAGTTGTGTGAAGAAAATTCCCACTTGAAATGAACTCCTGCATTAAACCTGCAACTGAAAGCTACATTGAATAAAGGGCTCTGTAACGGAATCGTTTTAAGCTTGACACTCGATGTGGCTCTACTTCGGCCATTGCGGGGCCAATCAAAGCAAACTACAATTGTTATATATATTGATATACATTTTTCTTGTGAGAGGCTGGTGAGGTGTGGCAGATCTGTATGAAGATACTAGTCGGGCTGTTCCCTGAAAAAGGGGATTAAATGTAATTTTTATCGCATCAGATTTTGATTACTTATGCAGCTCTCTAGCTATGGCACGATTTCGGAGGAAAAGTACATAATAAATGGCTCACGATAAAATAGGAGCACTCATACCTCGGATTTCTTCTACAAGTACCACTGCCAACTTATGGCGGCTTTTTCTTCACGCCAATTCAACCCACTTTCGTGAATATTTACCCAAAAGAACTTCTCAAAAACCTTGAGTTATCCAAACATGTGTACATCCATTTACTTGTCACTAAGAGAAATGCGGACGGAAGCATCTTCTTCCCAATTTGATTAGGCGCCAAGGCTACTCAAACTGTACAAAAGAACACCACCAGGAGGCAGATCACGGCACCTTCTATCCCTGGCTTATTATTATTAATCCGTTTTATTATCCTTTCTGAGCCTATGACTATGTATGACATGCAGGTCATCTCTGCCTATAGGCCAAGGATACCTATACCAGTTGTATATCCCCTCCTATGCCTCCCATACAGCTCCCCTCAAACACTACCAACCCTCACAAGTCCTCACTCGATCATATGCTTTGAGGAGCGCTTTTCCCTTCATTATCTCCCCTCTCCAGCCAACGAAACGATGGCCATTTGCGGGTGTATGGCAGCCGGGAAAAATCGCAAAAACCACTGGGTGTCGGGCTCTTCTAGTACCGACATTGGGACTAAATCCGAAGACATATTGCCCCTTCTGAGGCGTTCGAAGAGGCCGGCCAGCTGAGCGCTGCAGACTTGTGAGTACCTCGGAAAATCCACTCTCTGCCTTTCCAGCCTCCTTCCAACTCCTTCCCGAAGGCCGTGCTAAAATGTCAGAAAAGTCTTGACAGCGTAATTGCTGTATAGTAGCTTAGCCTAACTTCTTTTGTACCGTCCAGGGCGCTGGGGAGTGCCGTTGACTCGTCGACAAAAGAAGCCCTCCTGGCTAATCAGTCGAAATCTCGGTCTTGGCGCCCACAAAAAATCCAAAGTTGAGATCTCGAAAATATCAGACCTGTCATTCCCATGAAGTATCACTTCTTTGTTTCATTTCAAGCCTCAGTAGCATGCACCTCCTCAAATTTTATAGCCTCATCAGAGTAACAGACTCCCATAGACCAAGATGTGAGCTTTGTATATTATGAGTTATTTGATCCTTGCAGGCATACGTAGCGTTGTAAATTTATAGTAGGTGATGGCCGGCAATTAAAGAAGCAGGCTCCTGTTAGCAATTGAGGTAACGCCTTTATCGGTAGTTGAGGCGAGTTGGTGTTGCAAGTTTGAGATAGACTCGTGTGAGAATGATAGGTCTAAGATTCTACGTATGTTTATGTGTAAATATTAGTCTCGTATCAGTTAAGTGCCCTACACCGAAGAGGCATAGTATGAACATGTGATTCACGAAGGCTCACTACTAACCTATCAGCCCATCTTTCTAGACTGAGTAAGTACATGGAAGAACAGATAGAGACGATTGCATAGACAAAAATGCGCCCTGCGTCTTGCCAACTTTCAAATCGAATCACTAAGATTCCAGTTCCTCGGGATAGATGAATTCTCTCCGTGTGATAATTGCCCACCGTAAAACCTCGTTACGGTTATGCACTTATTGAAATTCTCCATTACGTTTTCTGCCGACATAGAAAGATTCGACACTGACGAGAAGTAGTAGATTTTAGTTATGCTTTGGGCTACCTTCGATTTCAATTCGGTTGCAATTCGTCTTCACTATTCTAGATATATAGAGCATATTCAGGGATTACATCAGCACCACTATATGTGGTAGATTTTGTCCTTGACGGTTATTAGCCATTAGAGTAGTAATGTCGAATGTGCCTGTGAGTAGACAGATACACAAACACAATAATCACGATTAATGGTTTAAATTAAGATGAGAAGTCCTTGTATAATGACACATGGTAAAAATTTGAAAATTAAATTGAGAGAAAACTTCTGTTTAAATGCTATAATTATTTTGTAACAAAATATCAATGAATTGCGGGTTTCAAAGACGAAAGACTCAGTTTGATATGTGAAGTGTTAAATGATGTAGGCCTTGGTAAGGAGAGGTAAGTTCCGTTCAGATGAAAGTGAATCGTGTGAAATATTAAATGCAATTGAAATGAGATAGGAGACATCTCCTGGTCACCTAAAATTCCCAAAAATCTGTGATAGTTATCCTCGAGACGCTAAAATCCATTGCAAATAATTACTCTATTGAAGTGTGAATAACCTTCCTTCACGTGCGAGTATGTAGTTGTTTAAATTAAAAAATGATGCTTGTTATGCGATCAGATATTTTTATGTTAAGGTTATTCCGCACTCTTCAGCCAATAAATTCGAAAGTGTTTTCCCGTCCCTTATATAAACCCATTCTCCATGACTTGCATTTTCTTTTTTGATTTGACTTTCACTAGAAATGATGTAGTCATATCTTTTGGGACCAGAAATGGGAGATGAGAGCCAAATTTGTTTGTTTGGGGTTTGTTTATTTATTATATACACTCCATTAGATGGTATGGTTATTGTAAGAATTCCAGCCTTCTCGGAGTATTAGTTATTTTCTCGGGTAGCGTATGGGTGACCGACCGAAAATTCGCAGTCAATAGTATCATTTTCTTCCTGACACTGTTCTATCTTGTCGTACAACTTGGAAAGGTAGGAATCGGCTAGTTCATGATATTTCTCTAAGCCTATATCTGCCGGTTTAACAGATGCGGTATTGGGAGACGAAGTTGAAACGGATAATTTTGGCTGCGTGCTTGTGAGAGCTCGATGTGTATGAGTAAAGGGTCTAAGGATGACAGGCTGAAAGTTAACCGACACTTTCTTGAGTGGCTCCCAGTTCAAGCGCGTTGAAAAACGGTCATAACGACGAGAAATATACACATTAACTGTTCGAAACAGTCTGCATACCGATGCTCTAACCATAATGGCTCACACGTTACTAGATGGTGTGTACTGAGGTTGTAAGGAGTAAAAACAAATCTGTCGCAAATAAACCCACAACATGGTGGCATGTCACGCTTTTGGCTTTAAGATTAGCAAACCTTCGGAACGATCGCTATCGCACTCATTGTTGGAACATCGACGCTCAAAATGATCAACGCTGTGCTTGTTTTTAACAATGCTGGACAGCCACGTCTGACTAAATTCTACACGCAACTTGTACCAGCACTGCACCCGTTGCCTCGTCACACATCCAGTTAACGAATCACAGGAAACCTCCGTTCAGCAATGCCTTATTTCTGAGATTTTCACTCTCGTTGCACATCGACCCAATGGTTCTTGCAACTTTCTTCCATTGCCCCCACTCTTGGCTTCTAGCACCTCAACTACAGCTTCAGAATCACACAATGATGTACCATCTCTCGTCACGTACCGACATTACGCCACATTGTATTTCATTGTGATTTCAACATCTACAGAATCTCCTCTAGCACTGATCGACTTAATCCAAGTCTATGTCGAAGCACTAGATCGACTGTTTGAGAATGTTTGTGAGTTGGATTTGATCTTCAATTTCGAGACCCTCCATGCGTGTCTGGGAGAAATGATTGTTGGAGGTGTAGTGGTCGAGACAAGCCTCGAACGAGTGGTAGAAGGAGTCAAGGCACAAGGCAAAGTGCCACGACGTCCCATTAATGACGTGGCAAGAGCTGGAGGAAGTTTAAGCATGGCTATGGGAGGAAATTTTGGATGGGCAGGCAGGTAAGTATAACTAGATATCAGATGTGATACCACAGCTTTCTCTATACAAGAATATATCTGTACAATAATCAACGCGCAGGGTTAATGCCGACCCACGTCTTTATTAATACACGATTATTAATCTATCGTTTCTACGGCAAATGAAAAAGCGAGTAATCGTTTCTTGGGTATAAGTTTGCATCACTAATTCCCAGTGCACGGCCAAGTGACAGATTCTTTCGGCGCTGTCAATTTAGCCCATAATTAATAGCTCAGCGAAATCATTTGCCAGATGACATGATTTGTGCGGATCGTGTATCTTGTTTATCCCTACGGTAGGTTTCTGGATTAAACAGGTCACCGGTCAACCCAAAGAACCAGCTACGTATCTGTCGTTGGTCAGCCTAATATTTGAAACTAAATTGCGTGAACTATACGCTACAAAACGGTCCGTTACGGCTGTCTTGTGCACTCAGATCCATGAATAAGACCCCATATACCATTACGACTGTAAGGTTAGCATAGGCTTCGGCATTTGCACCAAGTGGACCTACTAAGGATAGAGCTCAATTGCGCAATCTTAACCCCTTTAACCCATCTGGGTCTTGCCCATTTCAATTTAGATCTTCTTTTTAGCTTTCGTTCAAAGCGGAATTGTTGTTTGGCATTGAGTTTACTGAAATCTGGTGGCCAAACTTTTTTTGATTTGTAACGAGTGATATTGGCAAATGGTGCCTTTTCTAGACCAGTGCGACGTATCAATGTGGTGAACATGTTTCCTTTGCATCAGTCATAGAGCTCCCAGCTACCACATTGGAATAAATCTAACTACTGAGGCATCAGGCTAGAATTTAACCCCACCATGAAATTACTCGTCAGTGAAATGCCGCAGAATGCCATTCAAAGATTCGCAACTGGCAAGAAAGTGCAATTTTTATTCTAATTTTAGAGTACACCATCTTTAAGATTGATATAATGGCAACACCTGGAGAAGATTTAGAGAAGGTGGACGTCACGACCCTGAGTAAAACTAAAGAACTTAAAGGGGCACGTAGTCCCCTCGAAGTCATCATATATCTTGCTAATAGTATCTAAAGACAGAGAAACGTGACTCACTTACAGAGTTTGAAAGAAGATATCAAGAAAAATGGCATCAAGATGGCGTATTTCAAGTAGATGCACCCAGTACATCAGAGATACCCCTACACTCTCTTTCTCCTGCTGAAATCCGGTCACGGCATCAAAAGTTCTTTGGGACTATGGCATATCCATACATGAACGGGACATTGCATGCAGGTCATGGTTTTTCGGTCAGCAAAGTTGAATTTGCCTCTGGCTTTGCTCGTATGGAAGGTAAAAGGTCTCTCTTTCCTATGGGATTTCACTGCACAGGAATGCCTATAAAAGTCTGTGCCGACAAATTAGTCAACGAAATGCAGATTTTTGGCAAATACTTTGAACATTATAAAGATGTGAATGATCAGCTGAAGCAATCAAAAGATGCGGATATTCCGGGTACGGCACATGAAGACGTTACAAAATTTACGGCTAAAAAAGGAAAAGCCGCTGTCAAACTTGTTAATTTGAAATATCAGTTTAAAATTATGCTTGCCATAGGTATTCCAATTGAAGAGATTCACCTCTTTGCTGATCCACAACACTGGCTTAAACATTTCCCACCGCTCTGTCAGCGTGACCTCACTAACCTTGGATGTCGCATTGATTGGAGGCGTTCAATGATTACGACCGATTCAAATCCCTACTATGATGCGTTTGTGCGGTGGCAAATGAATCGCCTTAGAGAATTGAAAAAAATAAAATTTGGAAAGAGATATACTATCTACTCGACAAAAGATAAACAGCCTTGTATGGATCATGATCGGAGTGAAGGAGAAACTGTTGGTCCGCAGGAATATACGGCTCTTAAATTAAAGGTTCTTGAGTGGGCACCAGAGGCAGAAAATTTGATCAAGACCATACATATCAAGGAGGCAGATATTTATTTTGTTGCAGCAACTCTACGTGCGGAGACAATGTATGGCCAAACGTGCTGCTTTGTCAACCCTAAAATAAATTATGGTATATTCAAGGTTTCTGCAAAGGAGTATTTCATCATCACTTCCCGATCAGCGTGGAACATGGCACACCAGGGAATTTTTACTGAGAATGGAAAAATGGATAAAGTTGGGACAATTTCTGGATCAACTTGTGTGGGAACACTCGTTAATGCCCCTTTATCTCTTCATGCTGCTGGTGTAAGGATCTTACCCATGGAATCAGTCTCTGAGTCAAAGGGTACTGGCATTGTCACATCAGTACCGTCTGATAGTCCGGATGATTATGCAACTGTCATAGATCTTGCCAAAAAATCAGAATACTACGGTATTCAAAAAGAATGGGCACAACTAGAAATTCTACCAATTATTCAAACACCATCATATGGGGATCTTACAGCGCCATTTTTAGTCAAGAAGCTCAAGATTATGTCGCCAAAAGATACTAAGCTACTCCAGGAAGCTAAAGAACTTGCATATAAGGAGGGATTTTATCAAGGAATATTGCTTCAGGGAGAGTTCAAGGGTGAAAAAGTGGAAGTTGCGAAGTCTAAAGTCAAACAGAAACTATTAGAAAGCGGAGAAGGATTCAGCTACTATGAACCAGAACGTCAGGTAATTAGTCGCTCAGGAGATGAGTGCTGTGTAGCCTTGATGGATCAATGGTATATAGATTATGGCGAAGAATCTTGGAAGCAAACAGCTTTAAAGTACGTGCAAAATAAAGATGGGACTGGGCTTAGAACATATGCACAGGAAACTAAGAATGGGTTTGAAGGTGTTCTAAATTGGCTCAACCAATGGGCGTGCGCAAGATCCTTTGGTCTCGGCTCCAAGCTACCGTGGGATCCTCAGTTTTTGGTGGAAAGCTTAAGCGACAGTACAATTTACATGGCATATTACACCATCTCCCATTACTTACATGGCGATATTTTTGGAAAGACCCCTGGGTTAGCGAATATAAAGCCCGAACAAATGACTGATGAGGTGTTTGATTATATATTTGCTCGACGGGATCTAAATCCTTCTATTATTTCAGAGAGCAATATTTCAGAAGAAATACTAGCTTCTATGCGTCGGGAATTCGAATATTGGTACCCCCTTGATCTTCGTGCATCTGGAAAAGATCTCATTCCCAACCACTTGACATTTTTCCTATACGTTCACCTTGCGATTTTTAGCCCTGAATTTTGGCCCAAGGGTGTTCGTGCTAATGGGCATCTACTGCTTAATGGCGAAAAAATGGCGAAGTCGAGTGGAAATTTCATGACGCTCAACGAAATGGTCCGGAAGTATGGTGCGGATGCCTCCCGAATAGCTCTTGCTGACGCAGGAGATGGGGTAGCTGATGCCAATTTCGATGAGTATGTTGCAGATAATAGTGTATTGCGACTATTTACATTGCGTGAGTGGATTAAAGAGCAAGTTAACGATGCTGCATCCCTAAGAACTGGACCTAAAAACAACTTTTTGGATAAACTTTTCGAAAATGAAATGAATGTCCTAGTTAACGAGACTCGTCAGAGCTACAAGGATACCAACTACAAACTTGCGCTCAAATCAGCTCTCTACGAGTTCACTTCTGCTCGAGACTTTTATCGCGAATACTCGGCCGCTGCCGGTATCAAGATGCACCACGATCTCATATTTCGATACATTGAGTTACAGGCCCTAATTATTTGTGTTATTGCCCCACACTGGGCCGAATACATATGGTTAGAAGTCTTACAAAAAGAGTCTTCGATTCAAAATGCTCTCTTTCCCACAGTACCAGCGCCCAATCCAGCTCTAAGCGCCGAAAGAGAATATGTCAGAGCCACAAGCGGAAAAGTTACGTCTACAGAAGCAGCACAACAGAAGAAGAAAGCCAAGGGGAAAGAAATAGGATATGATATTTCAAAACCTAAAAAACTTACTATTTACTTTGCGCAGTGTTGGCCAGAGTGGCAAAGTAAATATATTGATCTTTTAAAGACTCTCTGGGATAGGGAGACAAATTCAATGAAAGTTGACGACAGAGACCTTAATAGCCGTGTTGCAAGTATGGGCGAACTAAAGGCGAACAAGCGCGTTATGTCGTTCGTGCAAGGATTAAAGAAGAGGCTGTTGAATGGCGAGGATGAAAGTACAGTATTTGAGAGGACTCTACAATTTGACGAAGGAAAAACTCTAGAAAATATGGTCCCAGGACTTAAGAAAGCGGCCGGTCTAGCAGTTGTCGATGTGATCCGAGTGATGGAGGGTGGAAAGTCTGGTGAAATAGTTGGAACGGGTCAAAAACTCCAAGACTTGCCTACAGTAGCCGAAATAGCTGTTCCAGGTGTGCCAACTTTTGCATTGGAGAATGTAGCGGCGTAATCTAATCATAAAGTGTGCAAAAGTGGTTTGCACTAGAATGATAGATTTACCTTCTAAGCATACTGGGTCAGAAATAAGCCTTACTTCATCACAAAGGTATTTTCCAGTCAGCCACAAATCATCTGGCCTAGGCGGAGATTAAACTTTAACTCAAAATTTACACAAATCAGAATTACTATGCCACAAAGTTTAACTATAACGGTAAAAAAATAGCTTCAAGACTTCAGAGGATTATCAGTATCTAGCGAGGATAAACTCATGTGTCCTAGTAAATAGCTCAAATTAATAAGTAATCTGGATATTATGTCTCTAATCCTGTCTTTTTTTTACTAATGAGAGTATGAGATGTGTCGGTCCTTTCTACGTACAAGATGAAGAAGTCGATCCTACTGATCTAATATCTCCTTCTATTCCTGTTTTGCAGCTTCTATTTAGTTGTACTTTCCATAAGAAATCTCTATTGGTCACATATCTTAAGGATTTTTAGTCCTTCAATATCTTGTCTCGTCAATTAACGAAAGCTATTTTCAGATATATAGCGGTAGGAAAACCCCTCAAAAAACCATAAAGTGCGGGCTCCCCTAACACAGATAGCAAGATTATATATGAATATAAAGTTACCTACAGAAGGATTCTGAGAGGTCGACAGATTTAGGGCTACAGGCCCATATGCAGCTAAGAGAGGCATACCTTACCTTCCTGAAAATTTATAAGACCATCTGCTAAAATACTCTGATAGTCGTAGATTTGTGTGGGAAGTAAATGAATTTGAAACAAACCTCTATCAGTCGTTCCTGAGAGAAATTCGGAGGTTTGTTTATTTATAATAAGTTTATACTTGATCTTGATTTAATTATCTTGATTTGGCACCCTATGGGCCCATGCAGGTGTCTATAATCTGTAATATTTATACGGGAGGAAACCTTTATTGTGACAACCTCCCACACCTCTCTGCTTGTTGTCTTCAGTTTTCACATATTTTCTTCAGGAAGCCCAGTGACACTATATTGCCATCCATGTAAACCAAGCAGTTCATCTCTAGCCGCCCCAAGCATGACTCGACCTGTTCCTTTCCCTCAGTAGCATTTCGACCGCCTTTATCATCTGGAATTGCTCTATCTAATCATGGTTTAGGGTCCACTGTGTTATCGTTTTGATATCTTTAGGATTGTTTATCATTTGTTGTGATAGGTCTATGATTCGGGTGTACATACAATTTGTGGCAGCTCGCTGCTAGTGATCACAGATGGGCTGCTGGATCGGACAGGTCAAGAAGTGGAGCGGAGAATGATCTCTGTGGAGTGAGGAAAGACTGATTTGCTGTCTCTATCCATTAGGGAGGAAAGCTATCTACTTATTGTCCCTAGACTATTGGTTACTAATGATATTAACTCAGCGAAGCAGGAGCAAACAGAGCAAACGCATGCAGTTGCGTGACCATCATATCTTGAGCTGTGCACTGTAGCTATGTGGGTCCAGGCACAACATCATTCCTTCGTAGGACCAATCTTTGGCTTGTCTCCAGGTCTCCGCTCTACCATTTGACCATCGAGGACAGGTCATAATCATACGCTTGGGGTTCTGTAATTAGTAGCCACATGGAAAACCTGGACTTAATACTTCGGGTATTTTGAATTTGAATCTGATTTCAATTAACCCGATCAGGCACCCTAAGGGTCCATGCAGGTGACTATCTGCATTATTTACAAAGGAGGAAACCAATTTGGTGTAAACCCCCTGATCCTGTCTTTTTATGTTCCTATCAATTTATTTGGTTTACCTTCAGGAAGTGCAATGTACAGTGTTCAGCCCGTGTGGATTCCGTCCTCTCCCCTTCCAGATCTATCTACTTTATCCGACATTGCTACCTCGACTTCTCCTGCAAGTCGAAACTGTTTTATCCACCCTTTGTTTAGTAACCACTGCGTAATTCTAGCCATGTCTTCTGGGCTGTTCATCATTGCTTCAAATGACCTGTCTTTAGCTTGTCGGAGAAAGTCGCCTCTTCCATTTGCCCACTGCGGACACGCCAATACCATATGCTTGACGTTTTGCGACGGATATCCACATTGACAGCTGGGATTTTCTACTCTGGGTACTTTTCTTATGCTCAGGTATGAATTGAGCCCAATATGCTTGCTCCTTAGCTGAATGGCGACACTGCTTTGGGCCCTGGTTAGGTTACGGTGGATTCCTAAGGGTGTATCTTTGAAGTTCATTTTGACGCCGCCTGTTTGTTTATCAGTAAATATATTTGCCGCTTTCCAATATTACTTCGGGTACTTTTCTTCTGTGTAAATACGAGTTAAGCCCCATGTGCTCACTTCGTATTTACATCGCCAAACTGCTTTGGGCCCTTGTAAGATTACGATGTATAGTTTATACTTATTTACCATTCTATTCTTACTCTATGAACAGGCTCTCGAGTAGGGACAGCCAAATAATGAAGGGAAAGGGCCTGAAAGCAATAAAACCTATCGTCCGGGCACACAAATATAACTCAGCTTAATAACAAACTACTACTTTTATACCATTTACTCCAGTAACTCACTTGATTCCTTAAATTAATTAGTGGATGAGTAATATCTCAGGTGTGATTTAGCAATAGTGGGACTTCCTCGTTTGGCAGCGGCCTTCGAAGCGTTCAAAGAAATGGTCTAGCTAGTATTTGTTCTGAAATATTTGCTACAGATTCTAGCTCCCCCTTGGTACATTTACCTCTACGCTAGTGACCAAAATAAACACTTGGTGTTCTCTAACTTTTGGCATAAGGTTTTTTGAATATCATTTAGTTTAGCGTAGGTTTAGCTGCTACTGTATAGTATTTATCTCGCCGAAAATTGATTGTACTTTCCAAAAGTCCAAGATTGGTTTTCTAGACACACCTCTTATAGACCTGAAATCTCCCATTCGTTGCTCCAGGCCATGAAAGGGTTCTATAATTATTTTTTTTTTGTTAAAGTCCTAAGCTAGAGATCCAAGTCCACTATAGGTACAAGAGTGGTGGAGCCGGCGGGCATCACTGCTTTTAGGCCTAGCTAATTCCAACCGCAAGACCCGCTACAGAAAAAGTAGAAGGTAAATTACAACTCAGAAGACACCACCTACTCCGACGGACGAAGGCTGAACACCTTTCAGTGGTGTCCTTTACGAACCTGGGAGTGAATTATTCTCCCAGAGCCGAGATTCAGTCACGAAAAAGGGTGGGATGAATTTTATTTGATGGATTTTTGACTTGAAGGAGTTGCACTCGATATTTTGGTCGAAAAATCAGTCGGCAGAGATTTCACAGCCGGAACAAAGTCTAACAAAAACTCATCACCACCAACATACGATTCACGAATGGGCCTAGGTCTATCTGGGGGTCGTACTCAAACATCTGACATCTCTTAAACTACTTTTATACTTGCGACGAAGCATTTCTCAGTCGATCCTACACCTGCGACCTACCTCCATACCCGTCCGATCACCTACCTACACACGCCCTAATGAGGAAAGTCATGATAGAAACAGGACGTGTACAAAAGAGGGAAATAAAAGGGAATATACAACGAGGGGATTACACAAATCACCAATGAAGATAACAGCCTAATGGTACGATATGAAGGTGCAAGGCTGGAGCAACGATGAGATCTGGGAAGACAATTATATTTCGGAGTCAATGAAGATGTCAAGGGCTCGGGCGCGTGGTGGCCGAGGTTGAGGAGGAATTTGAGCTACGGCGTTTATACAGCAGGTTTCTGGACAGTCAAGCTTGGTATGATTCAACACATGGGTGAAATCTAATGTGGTCCGGTCATTTAAGTGGGACGAGGTTTATCCGTACTTTACACTAGTTAACCTGATCCGGCCCGACCCTACTCGTGCTCAAGCTTCAATAGGAGTGCAATGGTAGTCATGTAACCTAGCACGTTAATGAACAAAACAAATGATGCAAAAAAAAAAAAAAAAAAAAAAAAAAGAACAAAACAAAACAAAAACCACCTACTCCGACTACGAAATCTAGACACCATCCTTCAACCCTGAGTTCAAGTACATTAAATTTTCCTCAGATAAACGACACTTCTCGCCCCGCTCCATTATGTCTCATGCATTGTGGCAATGACTATTTTGTCTGATTCCCCGCTGAGAGCAGTGGATGAATGGGCAGGTTATCTCCCAAAACAGCCGGTTTCCTCTGCAAATATTTTGAAGCTTTCGTGGTACTTGGGCTCGAAAAGCTTTTTGATAAGGTCAACGTGGGACGTAGACTTTCTGAGCCTACGCGTGTGTTGTGCGTGGTTGACACAGTGGATGAAGTGGGTTGGGGTACTTTCCTTCCCGCAAGAGCACTCCATAGGAACGTATGGGTTGTTAAAACGGCGATGGTATGCCACAAAATTACCGTGTCCTGTTCGGACTACAATTAGTGTCAGGAGGAGATGCCTGGAGAGCGACAGCTCGGGTGGTTTACGGCGCCGCACAAGTGAAGCTGGCGGTATTTAGGCAGACAAAATTCTACCCTCTAGTCTTCCAGCAATCTTTGTCGTCGGTGATTGATGAGACCACGAAGATATGCCAGAGTACATGATCCTGGCGGTGTATCCTGGCTGGGTAGCTCTCTAAGGGCGGCACGGGCAATAGTGTCTGCCTCTTCGTTCCCTTGTATCCCTATGTAATAGACTGACCCTGTAATGTTGTGTTGCACCTGACCAGCCGTGTCATGAGTGTACTCAATATTACAATTAATGCGTTGTGATAGTTACAGTGTTGCAATAGCAACAGTTACCTCCTAAGATACTAATCAGTTGCTATGATACGAATGTAGGCTATGACACCACTGGTTATGGTAGCTGCTCTCATGTACTTAAGAGAGCTCTGAGACTATATTTGTACTGTAGCCTCTTGTCTTGTAATTTATCTACTTTCTCGAACCTCGATTTCGTCCTAGTCTTCATCCTCATCTTAGTCCACCGTCCGCGAGCCATGAAAACCTGCGTGCCCTGGCACCCATTTTACAA